GGTGGGTCCTTGCCCCTTTAGCAAAAAAAAAAAAAAAAACACTTTCTTTGTTATTTCGTTACTTTCTATTTCCAATATAATGACTTGGTTCCCTCGCATCCTCCAATGTCTCCAGTCAATTATGGTTCCTTTTTTTGGTATTATTATGAATTTATGGATTTACACATATTTGGGCCTCTCATTTCAATTTGAATTTGACATACACCACAATGTGTACTCAACCTCACTTATTCATTAGGCTTTAACCACCAGGCCTACTTGTGTCTAATTGTAGCAGGGATGATCCCCTTCGAATCAGCTGCAACTCATATGTCTGTTTTAGATTTCAGTAATGTGATCAGCAAGAGTGACGTGAAGTCGTTGGCTGAAGCTGATGAACAGGAAGTTGTGGCTGAGGTTCAGGTAAACATTGGCTCTGTAACACATCTTTTATATTGGCCCTTTCAAAAGATTTGACTCCAAAAATTAGCAAGATGCTGTCACAAAAGAAGGGAGGCTGTTGGTTAGACAAAATAAATGTGCATTGTGCCAGATTGTACTTATATTTAGAAGGTTGGGAAAAGGTATAGGATTGAAGAAGAACAGAATTAAAGGGGTCAGTAGGAATAAATAGATTAGGCTGATGAATTGGCAGGGGTTTCACAAGGTTGAGGTACAGAGTCAGATGTATCTCATGCTAGTTTTTAGGAGCCAGATTGTAAGAATATTCAACTCGAGACTATTTATGACTGGAAGAAAATAGGAAACAAAGGTTGCAAATGAGGTTCCTTAAAGTTTTGTTCCTGATTATCATAACATGGGAAGTACTAAGCAGAATTTTGTCATTAGGTTAAAATTGGCACGCTCCTAAGTATTCATTCTGCATCCTATGTAACACGTCACATTAGACCATGTTTTGTTACCTTCTCCTTTACAAACAGTCTTCTTGAATACATTTATCACCTAAGTGAGTGTATTGTCTTCAGAGGAAGAAAATAAACAAGTTTGAATTTTTTAGAAAGATATGCTAGGTGATAAATGAATGAAAATAATGACCTATTTAAGTCTTATTCTCCTTCATGAGAATACATTAGATAGTAACGTTATTTTCTATCTGAATGTAACATTGGGCCCTGTAACAGTGTTTTATTTATGCTAGTTGATAAATGTTCATAGAGATCTCCAGAAATACAATGTGGATAGCTCTATAATTTGGGGGGTTAGAAGATTTATTATTACTGCTATTGTTTTATAATTATTTAAATTCCCCCACATTGACTTTCATTCATTTATTCATTCATTCATTTAGTTAGTTAGTGATTGGGGCTTGTGGTCTCTCCAGGAGCCTCTGCCAGGCCAGGGCCTATGCAGCAGCAGAGGAGCGAGCCCAGGGAGTGGGAGAAGGGGCAGGGGAGACAGCACCAAGATGCCCAGGCCCACCCCAGGGCTATTATTTATTATTAATTGGACAACTTTTATGTCTCATTTGTACCCCTGTTTTATAATTTGATTATATTATATAGTATACATTGTGTAGGAAAATATTATTGCTTGATACAGTTGGAGTTCATGGAATGATTGATCTTGGCACTTTATTTGCAGGAATTTTATGGTGATTACATTGCTGTGAATCCACACTTGTTTTCCCTCAATATTTTGGGTTGTTGCCAGGTATGAAAGGATTTTTTTAAAGAAGTTAATTTATGAAGTGGGAGTTAACTGAGCAAATACTAAACTTCTAAGAAAACATTTAAATATTTTCTCTGACTGTGTTTTTAACACAAAGGGTCGCAATTGGGATCCAACCCAGCTATCCAGAACAACTCAAGGACTGACAGCTCTCCTTTTATCTCTGAAGAAGTGTCCTATGATTCGTTATCAGCTTGCATCAGAGGCAGCCAAGAGACTTGCAGAATGTGTTAAGGTATGGCATTCTCTGTCCCTCGTTCTAAAATATCATATCATATTTCAGAAACTAAAGGAATATTTTATCTACAGCCAAGGAAACAGTCATGTGTTAGTTTTTTGAGAAAAGGTAGATATATGCAATTCAAAACAAAAAGCAATAACTTAGAGCTAAAGTTCTTAGATTTAACCCAAGAAACATTCACAAGCCTTTTAACTTTTGGAAGGCAAATTTAACCACTTGTAAAACAGGGTTTCAAATTCCAACCTCTTAAGAATATGTTATTAAATTTGGGACCAGCAGGTGGTGTGGTGGTTAAGGCACTGGACACTCCCACATGGCCGACCAGGGTTCGAGTACCAAATCTGGTGGCTTGCTTTCCCACTTCCTTTCTCTCTCACTCTCACCCTCTGTCTCTCTCTGGTCAAATTAAGAAATAAATGAATGAATAATAGAAAATAAAATAAATAATTATCTTTTAAAAAGAATATGTTATTAAACTTTATAAAACTTTTTAATCCTTTTTGGAGTCTTGTACAGATACAAAGAACTGTTGTTAAATGTAGCGTTATTTATTAAGTTTCTGTTCATATCATCTCTATCACAAGTCATTGTACCTCCCTCTCTTACCCACAGCAAGTGATAACTAAAGAATATGAGCTCTTTGAATTCCGGCGGACAGAGGTCCCTCCATTGCTGCTTATTTTAGATCGCTGTGATGATGCCATCACCCCATTGCTAAACCAGGTACAAAATCCTTTCTTAGGGGCTGGCAGGTGGCATGGTGGTTAAAAACACTGGACTCCCACAGAGTCAACTGCAGTTCAAGTCCTGGACCTGGCAGCTTGCCTTCTCATTTTCTCTCTCTCTCTCTCTCTCTCCTCTCTTTCTCTCTCACTCTGTCCTTCTGTGATCAGATTAAAATAAATAAATAAGTGAATGAATAAATAAAGCTCAATAAAATAATTTAAAAAGAAAATGCTTTCTTAGCAAATAGAAGAATGCTGCTAAGTGGTATTTATCAGATTCCAGACACAGAAATAAACAGCACGGTCCATTTATTTGTTACTTACTTTCAGCTATTCTTGGTTTTATCTCGCGTTTCCTGGTGTATTGGTATTCTTCCAGTCACTATTAATTCTTCCTTCTGCCTCATCCTTCCTGTCCCATTCTGCCACTATCCCCACCTCTAATTAGGGCAGCTTTTTTTTTTTTTTTTTTTTTTTTTTATGGTTTTTGCCATAATAAG